CCACCCGCCCCCATCAGCATCACCCCCCACACCAGCCCCCCCTCCAGCCCCCGCATCAGCCTCCTCCTCAGCACCAGCCCCCACCCCAGCACCAGCCTCCTCCCCAGCACCAGCATCACCACCACCTCTCTGCGCCACCCCCTCCTTTGATGCCTCTGTCTCAGCCTCAGTTCCGGCCACATGTACAGACAGCACAGCCACAGCCCAGCAACAGTCGGGTGCAGTGCCCCCCACGCCAAGGCCTGCGGCATGTAAGTATTAGGCTGTCTTGTTTTAACTTGAAAATAGAATTCAAGGGACATAATTGGTTAGATTGTCTCCCAGATCTGATTTTAAGTGAATAGATACGTTGTATATTCTTCTGAAGTGAATCTGTGTTTTAAAAAACACTTAGGAAATTATTTTCTTAAATACAGAAATTAATGACTTACTCATTTGTGCCTAAAGTTTGTTTAAAAGCTGTTAATATTTACCTCAGCATCTTGTTTTCATGTGATGCAATGCTTCAGTAGTGATCAATATTAATTGACATGTAACTTTAGAAAGTACTTTTAGGTGGTTGTCATGTTACCTTTGCCAGTGGCTTAAATTCTGATGCATAGATTATCTCTCTCTGGCTTTCAAATAAATAAATGAATTCATGAGAAATATTCTAACTCCCCTGTTTCCAGGTATTCTCAAGTTTCAGCATAAACAGTAAAGACAGATCCTTGCCTTTAAGGAACTTATGTTTAGTTGTGGGAAATTGACATGTATTTATTTGGTTGAGGATCATAATTTTAATGCTTGAATCCTCTCCTTTTCTGCCTTAAATTTAGGTGTGCTCTTGATATTGAGTCCTTAAGGCAGATAGAGTGCGTTTTGGCTCTTAGAGTTCTGTTAAAAATGTTAGTCTTGCTGGAGATTTAGCTCAGTGGTTCTGCCGCCTGCCTCAAAAATGTTAGTCCTTGTCCTGAAGCTCCAACCAAAAATTACCTGGTAAGAGTCTGTAGGCAGGAACCTATGTGTAGGCAAACAGGATAGCTTTATCTTGAGTTTTCAGAATTAGGCCATGAGGCTGCATTTATGTATGAAAAATATCAGCTGCCCAGAAGAGAATTCAGTTACTAATGAGAATGATCTTTTTTATTTTTTATTTCATGATGTGCCTTTTTTATGTTCCTTCTGCCAGCTTCGCATTTGTAATTAAAATCTTTTTGTTCTTGTGATAGACTGCAGCATCTCAGAATGTAACCAAACGGCCCATGCAGCAGATGCAGCCCACAGCTCCCAGGAATAGCAATTTGCGTGAATTACCCATAGCGCCGTCTCACGTTATAGAAATGAGCGGGAGTCGCTGCTCCTCCACACCTCCAGCTCAGGTGAAGCCCATTGTCAGCACATCTCCACCTGCGAGGGCTGTGGTGGCTTCCAGGAACTCACAAGGAAAGACTGATATGAAAGTCAAGCCAGTTAGCCCTGCGGCTCAACCTAAGGAAGACTCAAAAACAGAACCAGAGGTGGGGCATTTTCTGTGTTAAAAAAACTTGGTCTCAGACAGGAAGCCTTCCAGGTCAATCTTAGTTCACTCATCCAAAAAGTTATTCACAAAATATGCCCAGTTTTTCTTTCTCCCAATTAAGTATTTTAGCTGAATAACTATATATTCTTGCTTGTTTACTCAGTTAGATTTTGTATGTTTGAACAATTATATATTTATATATTTGAACAATTCTATTATATAGAATCAGCATATTCCAGGGCTTAGCAGATTTTTTTTTAAGGGTTTAGATCTTTTGTAGATATTTCAGGCATATAGTCTGAGTTGTTGTAATTGCTCAATTTTTCATGTTAGCATAAAGGCAGTTTCTGAGTAGTTTACTAAGAAATGGACATGCCTGTGTCTCAGTGGCAACTTGCAGAACCAGGAGGGGTCCAGATTTGTGTGAGCTTTGGTTGGCTGACCATACACTGCTGGGTTTCTGGAATGTTTTTTCTGATTCACACTGTGGACTCCTAGAAGAAAGGCCATTTTTTCTCTTGGTCTTGAAGATTTTGGAGAGTTAGGTTTGTTTTCAGTATAATTATATTGTTAATTTTAAAAGAAGTGCAGATAAGAGCTGGGGGTTTCATTGATTCTGCTGCCTGCCTCGCAAGCTCAAGGTCCTGAGTTTGATCCCCAGAATCCCCTCCCAAAATAATAATAGAAGTGCAGATTGTCAAGTATTAATAATAAATGTGGACCAGTATTTGACACGTTTTTGCATTTGAGGTCCTCACCTCTCACAAGGCTCAACTTCTTTATCTATTAAATGAGGATAAAACAAGGCAGGGGATATGATTGGACCTGGTAGGAGACAGTCGAAGTTTTATCAACATTGGGAAGATTTATGTGGACTACAAAGAAGTAGCATAAGAGATTAGCATATAACTGATGACATGAAACTTCTCTAGTTATGACTTTAGGCAAGTCATGCTTAATTTTATAAAAAACAGTTAACACTGGTTTTATCTTTTAATTAGTTAATTTTTTAAATTAGATTTTCTTCTAACAAATTACTGTTGTGGTTGTAATGTTACCAAGTCAGAATTGTAAATACAGTCAAAATCTTGCTTTACCATTTAATAAGAGCTTATTAGAAGGGTGATTTCTGTTTTATAATCAATATATGACAAAATAATGATTTTCAAACTGAATTGGGGTGGTTTATAATTTTCTTTGCTAAAAATTTTGTAGTACCTTTATATAGTAAAGGATGAATCTATTTTGATGAAATCTTGCCTGCATTCCTGAACATACTTTTAACTCTTTCTGGATTGTTTGGGGAAATACTAATAAATAGTAATTATTTCTGTGTCTTGTGATGGTCCATTTAGTGCATCTGCTGCTCCCAGTGCCTTTGAGTATTGCCCAAACACCTTTGCTGTTTGGGCTGTTTAGCTTTGCCTCAGTGTCCTTGTTGGTCTGTATGCCCACCTGGATAGAAGCCCCTCAGCCATCTTCAGATGCGTTGTTTGGAATGTGTCCAGGTCAGAATTGCCTCTGGGTGATCAAACAGGCTCCTGAGGAGGTCCCTGGGTGCCAGCTAACCCATTGGCTATAGTCTGATCTCACCTTCCTGGTTCTTAGGGCTTGCTGAGGGTAGGTAAGACTATTAAATAGGCATATTCTAAGTGGATTAAATCTGACATTTTCTACAGTGGATCTGTGGCTATCAGTGACTTCTTTAGAATATTATTTTTTAAATGCTTAACTTTTTATAAGCTTTCCATATCATGTGTATTTTATGAAAGTTATTGGGTTTTTTTCAGAGAATTTTTTGATAAACTCTCAGAATGGTTTGGGGCTGGAATATTCAAGGCACTCCTTGTATACCATTAATATTCCAATACTGCAATTGGCAACATTTTGATTCTAAGGAAGGTACATGAGTTCAAGGTCAGAGAGATTGACTCGTGCTGTTCATTATAACCAATTATTCTGTGACAAATGAGTTTGAGATCAGGATGAAAATTCTGTACGAAAAATCAATAGTTCTAATCAGGGCCTTTCAGGTCATTTACACCCCACCTTTTGTTGGTTTGTCAGGGAAGAGCCAGATAAAACCCTTGTGACAGCGGGCCTTGCTGCTAGTGCCATTCCTATTGGAAATATATTTTGATATCTTAAATGAATGGTTTAATTGGTTTTAAACTTGTAAATGAGTGGAAATTTACATTATTTCATTTTTAATATTCTGATAAGATTTCCAAATTAGCTTTAACTGTGTAATTTTTTTTTGCCCCTCCCCAGAGGAAGGAGTTATACTCAGTCTTTAAGCACATTGAAGTGCTTTCTTTCAAATACCAGATTGAAAGGATTTTGGGTAATACCTTTTCCAGATTGTCAAAAGTGAAATGGTCACCTTACCTTGCACAGCTAAATAAGCCATGTGTATTTTTCATTTTAGTTTCCTGATGAAGATGAAGAAACAAGGTTATATCGCTTAAAGATAGAAGAACAGAAACGGCTAAGGGAAGAGATCCTGAAGCAGAAGGAGCTCCGGAGGCAGCAGCAGGCAGGTGCTCGGAAGAAGGAGTTGTTGGAAAGACTTGCACAGCAGCAGCAGCACCAGCAGCACCTCTACACCCCACATACCCCAGGGGAACAGGAGGAGCAGGTGGCTGCTCCCTCCTCCACCAATGGGAACCCCCTGCTACCCTTCCCAGGTGCACAGGGCAGGCAGAATGTGAAGACCAGACTTCTTGTGAAAAACCAAGATGTCACTCTTCCAAGTGTTCAGCCCAAAACATCAAACTTTGTACCATCTGGTGCTAATGTGCAGTATCAAGGACAGCAGATGAAACCACTGAAACATTTGAGACAGGCCAGAATAGTACCTCAGAGTCAAACACCACACCAAGTACTGCAAATCAAACCTGCAGACATGGAGGAGCTCCCACCCATCCCCCAGACAGCCCGAGTGCCATCCCTGCAGGGCCGGCCCCAGGACATAAAGCCTGGTGTGAAGAGGACGGTCATGCACCGGGCCAACAGTGGAGGTGGTGGCGACGGGCCTCATGTGAGCTCCAAGCTCAGGGTGATTAAGTTGTCAACAGGGGTAAGTGGACAAGTTTTATGTCTGCTTCTTTGAATCTGTTTCTCTTAGAAGGTCCTGATTTGCACAGAAAGTTAAAAATTGCCTATTAGGCATTTCCAACCTTTTGGCTTGCCTAGACCACATTGAGTGAAGAGGAATTGGCTTGGGTTGTGTATAAAATACATAGTACAATTAACATATGTAAGTGACAACTTTGTAAAATGTTGTTGTCATACATACGTACGTGCGTACATTCATTCATTTATTGATTGATTGATTGATTGCTGCAGTGATTGAACTCAGGACCTTGTACTTTGAGAGCCAGGTGTTGGCACCCCTGAGCTAAATCACCAGCCCTCTCATTTTTTAAAAAAGAGCTCAGGTAACCTGTGGAACACTGGTATCACATCCAAGCACCCATGAATTTATCATGCTCTATTATAGGGAGAGCTGTTATACCTCAGTGTAGCCAGCCTCTTTGCTTACTGAAAGTTGGTATGAGAACTGTTGTACTCATAAGCACTGCTTCCACCCCATACTATGTCAGTTGTCTATGGAAAGACCGGTATGACATTCCATGGATGTCAGTAATTAGCTTATCAGCTTTTTGTCAATAATTAATGATAGCACATTGTGTTAAATTTGTGGTAACAAATTCAACAAATTAAAACCATTAAATTTCCAAAAAAAAATAAATAAATAAAATTTCCTGTACACAAAGTAATGTGTTGTGCACAGGTTTAGTTCAGTGAGTGCCTATGGGCAGCATGTACATGAGTCCATGTCTGAACAGGACCATCTAGACACTGTTACCTGTTTCTGTTTCCTAGTTAGTGTTCCTCGTTTTTCTAAAAGGAGTAAACGGGATTCTAAATTGAAATCACATGCGATCTCATCAGATGCGTTCCAAAGCAGAGCACGCCAATGCCTCAGTTCTTTTGAACAGTGCTTAATTCAGATCACTCACAGGAAGGTGCAGGAATGTACTTTCCCTCTCACATGTGCACAGTTCAGTACTCCAAATGCTAGTGGAGGTGCTATGTAGGCTGCTTACTTCCTTCTGCCATGCTCTCTCGGTTGCATATGCAGCTGTAATCTGAGGACTCCATATCACATGCAAGCATCCATGGGTTTATTGTATTCTGTAACAAGGAGACCTGTCTTTTGTGTGCAATTTACATTGTAAACTGAGGAAAAAATGTGGAGAGCTATGAATATCTTTTTTTTTTTTGGTGCTGGGAATCGAAGTCAGGACCTTGCACTTGCGAGGCAGGCAGTGAAACTACTAAGCTAAATCACCAGCCCTGTCAACATGACTTTCTAGAGCATGGCAGTTACTGTAATATACGCACATGCACGTGCACACACATTAATAAAAATAGCCAGACATGCTGGTGGGCACCTGTAATTCCAGTGCTTGGGAGGCTGAGTTAGGAGGATCACCACAGTTTCTATATGTATTCATTAAGTGCTTATAATTTTGTTTCATCTGAATCTGATTTTTCTCACTTTTTTTACTGTGATTCCAAATGTCGAAATGGGAGAAAGTTATATAATGTTACTTGTTTATTATAAGAGTTTGTTCCTCTGCATGCCAACCAAGTGTGCATTGGTTCCTGTGATTGCTGAGGCTGTTTCTCTAGCCTTCTTTTTGAGTGTAACATGTTCATCAGTGTCTGGTTTTAATTTGAATCACCAGCCTAACAAGGCTTGGTGCTGAAAACAGGCTTCCCATGCCCGCTGTGGTTGCAAAGGCTGTGTATACTGTCTGCCCTGGAGGGATGGCAGTTGCGGGGGTCAGTTCTGCCTTCAAAGAGCAGCTAATTAAATTAGGAAACACTTTTCCTTTCAAAAAATTTATTTTTCTTATTTAAATACTTGCTCTCTTTTTTGCATTTAACACCTATATTTGTATCCTGAAAATAAATATCAGGCCTAATTACAAAATGGTGCTTCCCAGTTTTGCAATAAACAGGAAAAACAAAAGCTATATTCCAAATCTGTCTTTCAAATCTTAAATTTCAAGTTAGCCAACAGGGTTTATCCTAACAAGTGACTGTCTAGGAGCATGTGAGTTTCTGACTCCTCGAGGACTTATCTTTTGCCTGCATCTCTCTGAACTGATGAATAACATTTCCCTAATGGCTTTCTTGGTTTTTTGTTTTTGGTGGGTGGATACTATTTTTAAGATAGTATTTTTTTTTCTCTCATTGAGTTTATTGGTACATTTTAGGTATACAACACAGTTACATTCATCATTGGGATCTTGTATCTTTACATGACAGCTCTTGGTTCTCATTTTTTCCCCATACCCCTGCCCTCCCATGTTTGTAAATGGAGAGGGTATGAGGGGGTGAAGGGAGGGCAGAGACAAGATAGTATATTCTTAATTGAGGCTAGGTGCAAGTTGCATTTGTTTCAGGCATTGCAAAAAAGGAAACAGTTTTATCAAGTGCCAAGCACACTCACATTGATTGAACTTTTATCTGTGCCCTTGACTGCTGCTGCAGCTTCAGGATCTAGGTGGTTCTCCACCTCTGTCAGCATCAGTATTGATACATTGCTCTGCCTATGAGAGTCTTATACTGTGAGCCCAGGGCTGAGCCACACTCTGCTAGGAGTTACACTGCCTGGAAGTTACATATAGAGAGAATTAATTTGTACACAGTACCTGAATAGACTATTAGGTATATATTTTAGTATTACAGTTATTTAATAAAAGCTTTTCATTGTTAGTTTAAGTTTCCCTTGTTGACTCTTACTTTCTGCCAGTATAAAGATATGTAACATGTCTTTTTAAAAGGTTTCTTAATAGAGTTGCTCCAGAGCGAGTCAGGTAAAACAAAAAACAAAAAAATGAGCCAGGTATGTGGTGCATGCCTGTAATCAGTCCTAGCACCTGGGAGGCTGAGGTAGGACAATTGCCACAAATTTGAGGCCAGCCTGGGCTACATAGTGAGTTTTAAGACCAGGATGAACTACATAGCAAGACCCTGTCTCAAAAAAAAAAAGTAAGCAAAACTATTTCCTTCACTTCTTTTTAACCAATTATATAAATTAATATAATGAAACTTTTGTTTGCTTTCAGTCATCTCCTTCTAGTAGTCATTCTCTGGCCAGTATATGGGACTTTCTGTGATGAGTACCACTCAACAACTTATCTCTGGTGGCTGACCACAATCAATATACTGCCCAGAAGATTGTTGTGTGTTCTTGTAAGGCAGAATATTCTTGGTGTTCTTGCTGTATCATGCCCATTGGAAACATCATACAATTTAAGTTGGCTTGTTTAGGAGTACTTAGGCCTGTGATGCAACTGTGAGTCAGAACAGTTTTCTTTTGTTATTTTCAGTATCTCATTTTTAAAATAAAATCATTTAATCTTTGAATTTTTTAAACTTAAAGTTTTGAAGGGTGAAAGAGCCTGAGACTTGAGATGGTAGTTTTTATGCCTGCCTTTTCATTTAATTACATTAGCTTTTATGTGATTTTAATTCTTCTTTTTATATCAGTCCTCTTTGTTGACACTATTGCATTGTGAACATAGGGAACATTTTCAGAAAGAATTTAATGAAAATGGTTCCTTGGTATACAGTTCTTATACAGTTCTGGTGACTGGGTAGTTATATTGCTTGGAGCTTGGAGATTCTTTGTTTTTTTCAAAATCTTCTTGTTGGCATCAGGCTTGGTGTGGGCCATTCTGCAACTTCCTTTCGTAGTGTTCAGAGCTTAAAGTGCTTTTAAAGTGCTTCTCTCCAGGACTTGGTATCACCCACAAGATTTGGGGAAAACAACTGGGCTTTGGGTGCAGAGGACCCATGCTTGGATGATCTGTGCCTTTGAGATGCTGATAATGGTTTCATTTCTGTGAACCTCAGTTTCTGGCCTATTAAGGGATTACTAAGGTTGCCATGAGGAGTCTGTAAATGAAAGTTTCTGGTAGATAGGAGCCATGTGATAATTTGATTTTCTTTTGTAGAATGCTCTGAGGCCCCTGGTTGAAATCTGTGGTCTCATGCTTGGTAGCAGTGGCTGTTTTTGGTCCACTGCTCAGCATGTACTTCAGCATCACCTGAGATAGAGGCTTATTTCCCTTTCACAGGTGAGAGCCAAGTCTCAGAGAGGGCTTGCTGCTAGCCTGGGGCCACACAGCTAAGTTGTAGGGCTAGGCACACAGCTCTTGTTGGATTCTGCATCTCAGGCCTTTTGCTCATCTTTAGAAGAGCTAGTTAGCTATTGTAGTGTAACTTTTTTGTTATTAGCTATTTCTCCAGTAAGGATTGTATTCTGCTGTTTCCTGTAAATAAATAGTGGTAGGATGGGCTCAAAAGATTGCTAATGGGGCCTTCTGTAATAAGGGCGATGAGTAGGCATCATTTTTTTGCTGACGCCTGCCAGTTGGTAGTGTCTGATGGAGCAGGATGCAGAGAAGGGCTTGGGTGATAGGTGAACAACCCTGTTGTGGGTACAGGGCTGGCAGACAGCTGCTCCTTCACCCTTGGGCAGTGCTGCTTTGCCACGTGCTGGAAATACGTCTCTGAACACTTCTTGTGAGTCAAAGGAAGTCAGGCTTTATATTTAAAGCTTTGAGGGGAAACATCAGAGGACTTAGAAATTGAGAGACCTTTCCTATGAAGCAAATCAGCTGCTGCTTATGTGAGTTGTTTTTCCTTATTATATTGTCTGGATTTGATAGGTGAGATTACAAGGGTTGAAGAAATTATTGTTGCTGATAGTGTTGGGAGGCCTACAAATATTCTAAAATTTCAAATGCCTCCCCGAATATTATTTATAAAAGCCTATTTAAAGAATAGTGTTTACCGGGGATTTAGCTCAGTGGTTCTGGTGCCTGCCTCGCAAGTGCAAGGTTCTGAGTTCAATCCCCAGTGCAAAAAAAAAAGTGTTTAATTGAATAGTTCTCATACAGCATTTCTCAGAAAGTTGTTTTTAAGTGCTTAATTTTAAGAGACCTAGAGAAGCCTTGTTAAATAATAATTTTGGTCATAATCAATACATAATCC